AGTCCTGATGTAAAGATCTAGCCCCAAATTTCCAGATCATGGGCAGTACCAAGGTTCACAGGCTGTGTGAATTGGATTTCCAAAGCCAGCTCCAAACCTAGTGTTCAAATACACTAAAACTTGGGATAGATCTTTCTTTGGAGATCACAGAGTTCCTGGTAGGGGCATCTTGCAGAATTCTAGTTGCATGTGTTGACTGAATTAGATCTCATATAAGAAACAAAGGGGCCATATAAAAATGTTATTGGGGTAGTGCTCAGTCTTCACTTGCCTAACCTATACACTGATAACCAGGTTCTAATACCTATTACTGACTGTGGGTTTCATACACACCTAGATCAGGAAGGTCAGGGTGTCATCACAGTTATAGAGAATCAGGCCCATTCCCCCAGCCAGAGCCAAGTGCAATATCCACAGAAAAGCAAAGCTACAACTGGAAAGAGTGCAATATCTATGCATAATGTAAAAGGACTGGTGACCATTGTCAGCCATATATATGCAGATTAGTGAGGAAATGAGAGGAGTCCAAGGACAAAATACTGTGCTCTCAGGAGGGGACCAAATGGGATTTGTATCCTGGTGAGCCTGCTAAGGAGTTAAGTACCTTGGGAGAGTCATCATTTTAAAAAGGAGAGTGAATGCTCAACTCTACGGCATTAACCACAGTTCAGTATGTAGTGTTATCATCTTCCTATACAGTTTACAAGTCCTTCTATTGCACTCATTTGTCAGATGTGTTGGGCAGGTAATACTGTACTTAACAAGGAAAATGCACCCAGGTAAGGTACTTGTTCAGCTGGAAAAGTAATAATACCAAACTCAGATCTTCAGATTCCTACTAATCCATGCTTGAACCATGCTTCTAAGGTGGTTTATCGTGGGTGGGTAAAGAATGAACGATAATGGAAGAAACAAAACCTCAAGCTGAACCACTAGAGTCGAACAGCTATTCGAGGGCAAAGAAGACACTTAAAGAAGGGGAAACAGTGGGAGGGATCCCTTGGCAAATATGAGTTGGTGGGAAGAGGAACCCAGTATTGAATTTGTGTAGGGACACAGGATATCAGGTTGGGAAAGTAAGAATAGGGCCAGATAATAAAGAGTTTGGATATGAAGTGGTATGTAATAAGCCATCCTTGTGGATTCATGAGAATCAGAGTAACAAGAAAAGCAGGACTTTGGAAAGATTAGTCTGGCAATGGGACGAGAATCAGGGTGGAAGAAACACTCCAGAAGCA